AATGGGGGGGGGGTATAGAAATATTATCTAATAACTGTTCCTTGATATTGACTGAGAAACCCTTGATTCACTTCTTAACTGTGTCATTTAACACAGGTGTTAATTTGCCTATATGTCATAATATAACATACATTGTAAGAATGGTTTGTCTTCTGGACTATCGATATTCCTTGTTACAATGTCTTCTGGGTTATCAATATTCCTTGCTTTTTAAGTTGACTGGAAAAAGTTTCATTTTCGTAAGCAGGTTGAGATCTTCTGCCATCAGGCATTTGGGGAAGATGAAAGGGGTATGCTGCTGGAAAAATGTGGGCGGGGGATCCCGGGGGGTGGGAATTGTGAGTTTTAAAGGCTATTTTAGGTGTATTTATTATATTTTACTTTAATTTTTTTTACCATAATACACACTGTATTGTTTAATTGTTTTTTAATTTTTCTGTTGTCCTTTTCTCTCCACAGGGAGAAAAGCAGGTTATAAATAAAGTAAATGATAATAACAACAATAACAATAATAACATCAACATCATCATCAGTACCTTTATATTTCAAATTGAGCCAGTAAGCCATTTTCAGACTCAGTCACTGTGTACAGAAGCAGCTGAGCACAAACACTAATTTCATAATTTTGAATGGTTTGGGATGTTGAAACTTTTTACAAATTATGCCTATCACTAGCAAAATACTCCTGCATTTTGTCAATATGTGACTTTCTTTCTTTCTTTTCTGTAAAATCTCAAAATATTTTTCCAAGTATTTTCCAGGCCTCCTTTAAAGACATCATGGCACCTGGTGGTCTGTGTACCATAGGTTAAGAACTACTGGAATAGCATTGGCATTAGAACCCTTTCATAGCACTTCCATAACATAATAAATTTGTCTATATTTTATGTTTAGCTGTGGGTTGGTGGCATTTCTCCTCCTCCTCCTTTGGAAGAGACAGGACATCTGCTGTAACAATGCCACACTGAGTGTGACACAAGGGGCAGAGTTGGAAATTAGCCTACCTCCAATTCAGACCACAAAACACTAGTGAATTTCTCCCTTATTTAGTTCCAATCATAATGGTATGTGGTTATGCCTTCTTTATTGGAAAAATGAATTAATGAAATTATTTGTGAATAGTTGCCTCCAAGCTCTGCATGAATACTTTGCATGGAATGTAGCTATTTGGCTTGATTAAGCTTAATCTTCCTTGAACTGTCATAGATATCAAAGAGCCATCTATGTTAATGCTTTCTGGGGAACAGGGAATTATTAAAATGTATCTCTTGTTTGTTCCAAGCGTAAAACAATAATACATTATTGGGTGACCCTAGTGTTATGGGAAAGAGTGAAATATTTCTTTGTACGGCTCTCATTCCATGGGAGAGATTGATTGAAATGTCAACACTGGATTTAAATTCCAAAAATTCAATCCCCCTTTTGAGGAATAGGTTTCAAATGAAACTATCAGCCAATGCCAGTCGTAAACCTAGCAACACATTCATAGTGTTGTAGTATTAGGGCTCACAAATAGTGCAGTGTCTGCAAAGTATAGTTTACAGTTATTTTAATATTTTTAAGGTGAAGTGTGTCCTGATGTCTTCTTCAGGCTACATTTTACTCGAAATTAGGCTTGTGCACAGATTCGGTTTGGTTGGTTTCCTTTGGCCAAACCCGCTTCTTCAGCTTGTTTGGCTGGCCATAATAGTAAGGGCTCAGCCATCATGTTTTTTTTTCAGCTGAAACAGGCCACACACCAGCCAGTCCTGGCTCCTCTTCTTCCATTCAGCATCATGCGGTGCCCAAGAGGCTGTCACTTCCTCGCACAGGGTTTCCCTGTGAGCCCTGCCTGTTGGGCCAATCAGAGTAGAATAACACCGTGATATGTCTTATGCAAGCTGTGTGTATTTCATGGGGCAAGTGCTGACATTCCTCTCAGTTGCGTCCTGGCTCTAGAGAGATGCTTCAATCCGGTTGCCTTGCTGTTTGCTCTCAGCTTTATTTTTTGGCTTGGCTTGACCTCTCTCTAGCATTGATTTTTTTTATTTTCCATTTTTTAAATTAGTGAGACTGGGAGTTGGGGAAGTGTAGGATGGGTGGGTGGGGTGTATGCAGGTGTTTAGAGACTTAGGAGAAAGAAAGAGCATCTCTTTGCACTTGGTGTGCTCTTGGTGATACTCATTCAACTCATTTCTACTGAAACTACAGCCAAAATTCCCTCATTGTTCCTGTCTCTCAGCAATGGAAAAATCCGGATTATGGCAGGCTTGCCAGCCATCAACATTTATTGCAGCCATTCAAAGACAATAGAAAAAGCTGGCTCGCCCCCACCCCCCGCCCCTGGGACTCGCTGACCACTTGGACATTTTCTACTTCCATAATCCTCTCAAGAATACATTGTTTCCCTCTTGTCCTGCCTCCCTCTCTCCTGATTCGCCAGGACGCCGAAGCGGCAGAAGCCCAGCGATTGGCCCTGGCGCTCAGGAGGAGGCCAAACTTCCTCCCAGCTTTAAAGCGGCAGCCAATCATCAAGCTGGCAGAGGGGCAGGGAATGGGAGATTCAAACCTGGCAGCTCTGTTTTATGTATAAAAAGGCCTTTATTTTTGTACACTGTATGCTCAGCTTGGCGAAATATTGCTGCTTTGCATCCTTTTCAGCTGAATCGCAATAAAATCATTTCGGTGGCACTTCCTTCAACTTTGGTGAGATTTCTTTTGGGAACTTAGGAAAAACCTTTTAAATTGGGCTTTTCTTTGCTCACCATTGTAGCGAGCCCTCTTTGGTGGGTCCACAGGGTCTCTCCTTCAGGGCCAGACCCTTTTAAATTCCTCCATGATTTCACCATCATCTCCCCTCCTCTCCTTCAGAAAATACTTGCAAAAGAAAATAACAATAATTATTAATAACAATAATCCCAGCAAACAAACAGAAAAGCCTCACTGTCAGAAACTACTCTCTAGTTACCTACCTACCTATAATTTCATTTCTTTGCAAACAAGTTATCTCTGTTTATATTTCTCTCTGTGTTCTCTGCCTGCTGAAAGTAAAAATTGTAGTAGTAAGTATTAGTAGTATTCCTTTGGCTGTTGCTAGTAGTAAGAAGAACTGCAACACTTGGTTTTGGACTTCAATCTGTGGAAAAACTTATGCCATTTGCCAGGCCAACAGAACCCATCGTCTTTCTCTGAACTCCAACCTCCATCAGGACATAAAAGATTGTTCTTAATAATAATTCCATTCCAAAGAATTCTACCTTCAATAGTAACTTTTAATTAAAAAATCACAAAAAATCAGCCTGTTCCTGTTGCATTGCCCGTCACCACCTGGATTGTTTGTGTGTGTTAGACCCTCTGCTGGCTGTGCCTTCCTCCCCAAAAACATTAACAACTAATTGAGTTGTTCCTTTGAAATTGACTCTGCTAGTCGTCTTTTCCTTGTACTTGTGTGTGTGTTTTTGTGTGTTTGTGTGTGTGCGTGCGCACCCTTCTATTCTCTCTCATAAGAAGCCTGAGCCTCAAATTCCAAAAAAGCACTACAATTTACTAATACAATACACATAGCATATATTTTATATTAATAATAAATACATATACATATAACATTAACAAGAAATCATGAGGTCTGTAGGCCATCATCGTGCTGCTGGTGCTGGCTTGGGGTCAACTGCCAGTGTCCAGGCTTCCAGGGGAGACAAAGGGAGTGGGAGATGAGGTACAACATCAACTGAATCTTTTCATTCTCCAGAAACTCAGTAACAGCAATCAGATCCCCCCATGACACCAGCAAAAGTACAAAGAATAATAAGTTTTCATTTGGAGGCTGCTACTGATGTACAGCCTCAGTACATTGAGGAAGAAGCCTCTGAGATACCACTGCCATTGTTATTTCAAATTCCCACCAGTAGTCCCAGTGGGGACAAGTCAGTGTAACTTTTGCAAGAGGAGGAGGAAGAGGAGGAGTTGGGGTGGATTCGGAGATGCACCCCCCCCCCGTGTCGCTGTCATCTTGAGCTGCGCCTGCCCCCTCCCAGCCAGCAATCTCCCCCCCCCCCCCAAAGTAACTGGAAGGTCTCGTTCCTCCACTTGGGACCACTTCTACCTTGATCCAGGCGACCCAAGGCAGACAGTGTGTCTGCATTGTAATGCCAAAGTGAGCCGTAAAAAGGACACCAAGCATCTCTCAACCAGTGGGTTGTGGAACCCTGAGAAGAGGCACCACCCCCATGTGGATTAGGGATTAGTTTGACACTGGGAATGGCAGTAGCAGCAGTATTACCAGTTCCCATTGTTTGGAGTGTGAGCGATAATAGTCCAGTACTCAAATTACAACACAATTCGGGCTTCCTCATCTATATTCTGTTGTGGGCATATTAAAGACATCTGTTTGGCCATTATTTGAAAAGGAATGCTGATCTAGATAAGGCTTTGAACTGATCCATCACAATTCTCCTTAACAATTTTAAGTGAGCTAGAAGTTATAGTATTGAGTCATATTAATATTTTGAGTGTCACCACTTGTCTTACAAGCTTTAAGGATTCCATTTTGTTTAGATAAAAGCTTACCCTTGAACTTCCAAGGAGACAAAAATAATTAGACATGACTTCCAAGTTCACTTCACAGAGAAATCCAATTTATATTCAATTAACAGTAAATCCCACTGAGTTCAATGGTACTTATTTCCCACTGAGTTCAAATTACACAACAAAATATAGGGGGCATTGTGGCCTAAACCATTTTGTTCTAAGAAGTTGGGTTACCTGCTGCACCGTGAACAACAATACAAATGCAGCATCAAACTGATCATAATACAAAGGAGAATAATCCCTAATAGTTAAAGAATAGTGACATAGCCAGTTTAGATATTCCTCCCTAGAAACAAAAGAGCCCCTATGTTTTAGAAAGCTAACATTCTGAGGGGAAAAACTTTTAACATCACTATTGTGTTTTTTCTTAGGCAATATTTTTAAAGTGAATTTCTCTTGTAATATCTGTGACACTATCATTTCTATTTCCTCAGGATCCTGCCATCATCCTAATCCATACTCCAATCAAGTCCTTGCCAGAAATTATGCAATGTATCCCAAAGTTCTGTTCTAAGAGGATCAAAAGAGAAAAAATGTACCTGTTGATATACCAGAATTCTCAGACATTTACTAAAGGCAAAAGTGAAGGCCTCTGCTTGAATTTTAAAGGATTTTGGCAGTATTTCATAGTGCCTGAAGAACATCTGCAACAGGGGATTTAAAAACATGAGTCCCAGTTCATTGGGCCCAGATGCTGTCAAATGTATTTTGGCTGAAATATTCATATGAACTTCCATTGGGCACAAGCTGTGAAGGAAATTACCACTGTTTACAGCCAAGAAGATTTCTATACAAAAGGAATAATCATGGAAGAACCCAGAGGAGAAAGCCTGGAGGGAACACAACTGTTCATTACCATAAGTAATTAACCCTGGCTGAGCTTGATAGCGTAAGAGCCAATGACACTGGGGCAGCCTGCCGCTAGGGGTAGTGACCATGCAATGCCTGCAGGTAATTGGCAATGAGTTTCTCCTCATGATGATTACTTGCTTAAGTCTATGTATTTCAACAGGTACATGCTTTGTAGAGAATGAGGGTTGCTTCAGCTTGAGTACCTGGGAGCCTTTAATTAATACCTTAAGAATCTGTGATGAGGTAAATATCAGGCAAGTTTAATGAGAGCACCCAGCTGTGTTGGAAGGCTTTCTAGAACAACTTAAATATCTTGTTCCTCCTCAGCACACTTCACATCCTCCTCAGGCGATTTCAACTTTGCATGATACCAAGGCTTTGCTAAGTTTTATTTTCTACATGGGTTCTATAAAGTGTGGTTAACCTTGGTAGTGTCCAAGCCCCTTATTCCTGTTTTCACATAGGAGTTCTATGTGAGAGATCAGGGGTCTTCTGTTCACAGAGTTTGAGCCATTTGTGCTGAGAACTGGTAGAGGTTCTCAGAGGGCATCATCATCCCAGAGCAACTTAGGGCACTCGCTTCTCATGTTGAGAAGGAGAGAGCGATTGTTTTGGTGCTGAGCTACTCCAATTCTTTTGGCCTTTTCAAAACAATCTAACTTCTGATTTGCCTTGTGGATTGGTAAAGGAAAACTGATTTATTTTACCAATAGATTGTGAAAGTATTCTGAGTCTTTGCCAGTCCACATTCCAAGTCCACAATTTTCCCCCACCCCTTAATTTTGTAATGAGTATTGAAACATTTTTTTTCATTGATCACATGGGCCTAGTATTTATGGGTTGAGAGATAGAAGGAAGTTACTCAAGGCTCATGCTGAGGTGAATAGCAATGAAGAAAAGTTCTGCTTAGGTACAAAAAAAAAGTGTTGTGGTAAATACTAGTAGCTTGTACCTGCCCAACCTTATCTTTAACAATAATTCAATTTCTTCTTCAAACCAAAATATTTCCCCCATAGTTTATGCTGCGGGATGTGGGCTAATAGAATTTTGCCAGGAAAACTCGCTGTGCATAACAAACACTCTCTTCCAACAACCTAAAAGACGGCTTTATACATGACTTCACCAGATGGTCAAGACAGAAATCAGATTGACCACATCCTTTGCAGCCAAAGGTGGCGGACATCCATCCGGTCAGTGAAAACAAGACCTGGAGCGGACTGTAGTTCAAATCACATACTCCTTATTGCACAGTGTAGACTAAAGAGAATAGGGAAAACACAGAGACCAGTTAGATATGATCTCACTAATATTCCCAGTGAATATGCAGTGGAGGTGAAGAATAGATTTAAGGGACTAGATTTAATAAATAGAATCTCAGAAGAACTGTAGACAGAAGTTTGCAACATTGTTCAGGAGGTGGCAACAAAATACATCCCAAAGAAAAAGAAAACCAAAAAGGCAAGATGGTTGTCTGCTGAGGAACTGGAAGTAGCCCAAGAAAGAAGGAAAGCAAAAGGAAACAGTGATAGAGGGAGATATGTCTAATTAAATGCACAATTCCAGAGGTTTGCCAGAAGAGATAAGGAACTATTTTAAAACAAGCAATGCATGGAAGTGGAAGAAGACAGTAGAATAGGAAGGACAAGAGATCTCTTCCAGAAAATTCAAAGCACTAGAGGTAAATTTCAGGCAAAGATGGGCATGATCAAAAACAAAGATGGCAAGGACCCAACAGAAGCTGAAGAGATCAAGGGAATGTGGCAAGACTATCTGTACAGGAAGTGAATTAGAACCAGACATCCTGAGGAGTGAGGTTAAATGGGCCTTAAGAAGCATTGCGAATAACAAGGGAACGGGAGACAACGGGATCCCAGTTAAACTGTTTAAAATCTTGAAAAATGATGCTGTCAAGGTGGTGCATGCCATATGACACCAAATATGGAAAACACAAGAACGGCCATCAGACTGGAAAAAAATCAACTTATATCCCCATACCAAAAAAGGGAAATGCTAAAGAATGATCATAGTTTCATACGGTGGCACTTACTTCACATGCCAGTAAGGTAATGCTCAAGATCCTGCAAGGTAGACTCCAGCAATACATGGAGCAGGAGTTGCTAGATTTATAAGCTGTGTTTAGAAAAGGTAGAGGAACAAGAGACCTATTGCCAATATCTGCTAGATAATGGAGAAAGACAGGGAGTTTCAGGGGGGGAAATCCATCTAATTCTGTTTTATTGACTATTCTAAACCCTTTGTGTGGATAATAATAAATAGTAGCAAGTTCTTGGCATGGGGATACAAAGTCACCTTCTCTGTCTCCTGAGGAATATGTATAATGACCAAGTAGCAATAGTAAGAACAGACCACAGAACAATAGACTGGTTCAAGATTGGAAAAGGGGTATGGCAAGGCTTTATACGTTCACCCTACTTGTTCAATTTGTATGCAGAACACATCATGCAATGTGCAAGGCTTGATAAAGTCAAGGCTGGAATTAAAATTGCTGGACAAAACATTAACAACCTTAGATATGCAGATGATACCACTTTGATGGCCGAAAGAGAGGAGTTAACAAGCCTTATAAGGTGAAAAAAAGTGCAAAGCTGGGTTGTAGTTAAACATTAAAAAAACAAGATTATGGCAACCAGACTTATTGATTATTGGCAAATAGAAGGAGAAAACACAGAGGCAGTGACAGACTTAATGTATTTCTAGGCACAAATATTACTGCAGATACAGGCTACAGCCAGGAAATCAGAAGACGTTAACTTCTTGGGAGGAGATCAATGACCAATCTTGATAAAATAGTGAAGAGTAGAGACATCGCACTAGCAACAAAGATCTGCATAGTTAAAGCAATGGTATTCCCCATAGTAACCTATGGATGTGAGAGCTGGACCATAAGGAAGGCTGGTGTTGGAGGAATATTCTGAGAGTGCCTTGGACCCCAAGAAGATCAAACCAGTCCATACTCCAGGAAATAATGCCCGGCTGCTCATTGGAGGGAAGGATATTAGAGGCAAAGGTGAAGTACTTTGGCCACATAATGAGAAGTCAGGAAAGCCTGGAGAAGATAATGATGCTAGGGAAAATGGAAGGAAAAAAAAAGAGGGGCTGACCAAGGCCAAGATGGATGGATGGTATCCTTGAAGTGACTGGCTTGACCTTGAAGAAGCTGGGGGTGGCAATGGAGACAGGGAGCTCTGGCATGGGCTGGACCATGAGGTCGCGAAGAGTCAGAATTGACTGAACGAATCAACAACAAAGTTTATGCTGTATTTCAGTAGGATCACAACATCAAGGAAGACATTTTCTGGACTTTTCCACCACTTCTGCACTGTTGGAGATGGGAAGCTATTTATCCATATCATTATTGTATCCAGGCACAATCCAATATATATCAGAGGCAAGCCCAACTGACTCAAATAGCACTTTGTTGTTGTTCATTCGTTCAGTCGTCTCCGACTCTTCGTGACCTCATGGGCCAGTCCACGCCAGAGCTCCCTGTCTCCATTGCCACCCCCAGCTTCTTCAAATAGCACTTATTCTCTGCTAAACATTACAAGACTGGAGCTGCTAAGTCCTACCTGCTGGAAGAGGGAGGCAGTTCTTTGAAGGGAAAACCTGATAGTATTCTTGGTGGTGTTAGTAATGGTTGTTATTTGCCCTGAAATCAATTTTAACTTAAGCCAACCCTATAAATAAGAGACCTTGAAGAGGTCATCAGCGGCTCTCTTCAGATCTTCCAAATCAGGGCTATAGCTTCTTTATTACAATTAAATAATATGTATTGCAGTCTCCCTCTTTTCCAACTGCCTTTTATTTTACCAAGCCCTATTGTGTGTTACAGTGAGTCAATTGTCTTATGATGTATCCAAAATACAGCAACTTTAGTTCAGTATTTTTGGTTTCAAATGAATATTCAGGCTTGTTTTGATCTAAAACCCACTCATTTGCCCTTTAAGTGGTGTATGGAATCTGTGGAACTCTTCTCTAGCATCTCATTTCAAATAAGTTCATCTTCTTCCTATCAGCCGTCTTCATTGTCCAGACATATAGGGAAACTGGAAAATCAATGGGCTGTGTAGTTCTTTGTATTTAACAACTGTACTCTTCCCCCCCCCCCCAACCATGGGAAATCATAGTAGTGCGGTTGCATTAAAATTACAATTAGAATAATAGAGCTGGATGAGATCACATGGGCTATCTAGTCCAAGCCTCTGCCAGCAGGAAAAGCACAATCAAAGTACCCCTGACAGCAGGGGCAGCTCAAGACGGTATGCAAATTACACTTTTGCTTAGAGTGCACGTCTCAGGGGGGGCTCTCTTGAGGAGCTCTTGAGTCACCCCTGTCCCGAGGCAGCTCCCTCTCTCTCTCTCCTTCCCTCCCTCCCCCTGCTGAGATCCTGGATGGCAGACGGGATGGCTTGGAGGAGGTTGCTGCCCATGCTGAGGCTGCGGAGGCAGCGGAGCCCCAGCACGGGGGTCGGGAGGTGGGTGAAGTGGTTGTACTGTGCTGGTAGGGAGATAAGTGTGTACATAGATGTGTATGTGTATATACATATTATTAGATAGATGTATAGATAGATTGATAGATCAATAATTGATAGGTGTGCATGGATAACAGATGTGTGTTGTTGTAGTAGAGACTTGGCAATGCTGCAACTGGCAGTAGGGGCATCAGTAGAGAGAAAAGGAGTGTTCAGGAGTTAAACGAGGAACAGCAGATGAAGAGGAACCAGGAGATACTTTTGTCACCCACTGATGAAGAGTCCTTTGAAGGGTTTTCCGAGAGTGAAATGAGTGAGGAGGAGGAAGGAGATACAGTGGATATGAATAGGGGAACTAAGAGGATTACTCGAAAGCAGGAGTCAGATGAGGAGCGACAAAGAAAGAAGATCTGGGATATACTTACTGCTCCCACAGAAAGAGGATTGCATGGGATTTTCTGGGAATGATGGGTCTGGGAATGATGGGGATGAGGAGGAATCACTGGATTGGACCAAGGTACAAGAGGTTCAGAATGTGTGTATTCAACCAACGTCTAGTGACACATTTGCGGGGTTTTCTAGTGGTGGGGATTGGCAATCGGGAGATACTGTGGAATCCTGGGGAGACCTAAGTTTTGACAAGAGGTGGAAGAGTTGGAGGGATGGGTGTTGGCGTTCAGCTGTGGAAGCTAAACCAGCGGAGAGTGATGAGGACGGGGTGGAGGGCAGCTCATCATCGGATGATGAGTTGTAAGATAAAAGTAGGCACTGAAATGGTAGAACTTTGCAGTAGGCAAAGTGTTGGTTTCGTGTCTTGGGTCTTGTCGCTGCTGCTTTCCTGTTGGGCTTGGGTCCTGGATCTGCACGTTGCTGTTTTGCTTCATGCTACCGACCGGCTTGGATTCTTGTAAGTGCGGATTTCCCCTCTCCTTGATTTTGGACTGCTTTTCACGATGACACTGCCTTGTGGACTTTGGAACCTCGCAACTTTGGACTTGGATTTCTTCAACTTTGGACTTCATTTGGATGACGGTTCTTCTTCAAGGCTCTTTGCTTGGTTGTTTTCCATTTACTGTGTGATTTTGGGGTGTGTTGGAAGTGTTCCTGTTTAATCCGGATTTTTTG